GTGTCTTTTCGCGGCATCTTCTCTCTCTGGACGACCTTTCGCCATCTTATGGAGACTGGTTCGGTGTTCTTGTCGCTCATCCTCAGGGTCACGCCTTGGCCTCAGCTCGGCCACCTCCTTCCTTGTACTGTTGGCAGACTGGGGGTGGTCAGGGAGCATCTGCGCTCCTGGGAGGAGCGGTCCTATGGGCATTTCCCTGTGGCCCAGGTGCTTGGGATATACATTCTGGCCCACGAGGGAGTTCTAAACGTTTGTGACTCGATTGTGGTCCAAGCAGCAGCAGCAGCAGCAGCAGCTGGGAGCTTATTGCAAATGCAGAATCTCGGGTCCCATCCCAAACCTACTGAATCAAAGCCTGTGTTTTAATAAGACCCCAGGGGATAAAGTTGAGATGCTCTGCTCTTAAACGGTGAATCCTAGTAGCCATTTCTCCCCCTCCCACCTCCACATGTGGTCCTCATTATGCCATCAGGGGGCCTGGCTCCCGTTGTCCTCTGACAAGCCTTGCAGGGGCAGCCCTGTGGGCGTGCATCTCACGGAGGCAGCTGCTGGGGAGTGTGTGCTCTCTGCTGGGCCATCCTCCCTTCCCCCCTGTTGGAGTCCGCTCTGGCCAAGGCACTGTAGGATGCAAGATGGGTTCAGGGTCCTGCCGCAGGCCACCTACCTCCCTGACCACTGGGTGATACAGGATGCCATTGGAGGAGAGCTGAGGGCCAGAGGTCCCGAGAGGCACGATGCCTTTTAGCTGGAACAGTCAGGAACGGGTCATGGGAGGCCCTGAAGTCCAATAGGATGGGTTTTGTATGTGTGGGGGGAGGTGGGGCCAACAGGGCAGGAGATTACAGGGTCAGGATGGAAACGGCTTCATGAGGGAAGGAGAAACAGGGAATGGAGTTTGGAAAGGTCAGTTGTGTCCCACAGATGCCAGGCCACCGGGGCTTAATGTTGTGGGCAGTGAGGCCCAGTAGGCTTTTGCATAGGGAAGTGACATGCCGAGAGCAGGTGCCCAGAAGGCAAAAGTGGCAGCAGCTTAAGTGGAGTTGTGGCATCTGAGCAGACTTATTTTAAAGCTTTAAAACATGTGAATGAGAAGGGAGGCGGAGGAAACCAGTCGGGGCCTGGCGATGGTCCAGTCAGGCCTGGGCAGGGAGGGTGGCCTGAGTGGGGGCAGGAGGATGGGAGAAGCCAGCTTGGTCCCAGACGACCCAGAGGGTCAAGATCAACTTTGAAGTAGGAAGGACAGGCTTCAGTTTATTTTTAAGATTTTTAATATTACCTTCAGCCACTCCTTCCCCAGCGCGCGCACACACACACACACACACACACACACGCACACACACACGCTGGCCATCTGAAGCCCAGCTGTGCCAGGTGAAGGACAATTGCACTATGTGGAGAGTGAAGGATCTTTACATGCCCAGCCCTGCGTTGTCCCTGTTGGAGGGCTCTAGTGGTGAAGCAGCTCACAGCAGGTGAACCACAGCGGCATTGAAAGCCAAGAGGTGTGGCAGGCCTCCGAGTTCGGAGCAATCTGGCCGAACAAGAGGCCCCCGCAGGCTGGGGGCTTTTCAGAGGAGGTGGCCTTTGGATGGGACCCAAAAGGCTGGCAGGACTCAGGGGAGGGTCCCAGCTCCGTCCAAGGCGGGAGCTGGCCACCCAGGCTACTTAGAAGGGAGCTTTGGAGCCCTACTGAGGCCCCGCTGTCCAGCCGCAGACGCCCCCTTCCTCCACGGGGCATGCTGGGCATCGTCCCACGACCCCTCACACAGTGGGCCTGGCAGTCCAGGTCACCGGCCTGTATCTGTCAGAATCCCTGCCTTTCTCCCTCCCAGGCTGTGTGTGTTCACAGCGCCATCCGTTACCTTCCAAAGCTATCTGTCTGATCCTCTTAGGGATCAATTGCAAACAGACCTGGTATTGGGCAGCTTTTTAGTCATTTAATGCAAATCACCGCACTGCTTTGCAGATCAGGTTTTAATGATCTGGAATCGACCCAAGCTAAGTGGCTTTTGATCGTGCTGCAGAGTGAGGATGCCCCAGAAGCCGGAGCGCCAGGCCGCATGCTCCCTCTCCGAGCGGAGGGCTTGGTTCTTGCTGCATTTTGTCGTCTGTTTCAGAGTCATCTTTTCATCTTCCTTGTGTTTGAATGTTTTTCCTCCTAGGGAACTTTGAATGTGGGAATCCAGAGAAGCTAAAAAGCAAGTGCATCCCTGTAGCGGAAGCCCAGGAATACATAGCAGTAAGTAGGGTGGCGCCTACCGCCAGGAGGGCCTGGTGCTTTTGGGTTGATTTTCAGACCCTGCGTTTACTTCTCTTCCCCTTTTTATTTTGTTTGGTGTTTGTTTTGGTTTGGTTTTTTTGTGTGTGTGGTTTTGTTTTTGTTTTCTTTCTTGCCCTCCCTCCCTTTTTTTTTTTTTGCCTTAGTTGAGTGCTAGGCTACCTTAAGTTAAGGCAACACTGGGGGGTGACTGAGCCGGAGCAGGCCTGCTGTGTGTGCATGGCTCCCTGCTGCCCAGCGTGCAGGCCACAGCAGCTGCCCCTTCTAAACTGACCTGTCACTTGCTCCTCCCTCTGTTCGTTTCTTTTCTCCCTTCTCAGCAGCTTTAAGGATGCATGTGTCGCCTGCCCTCCTCCCCCCTTGTGTGCTGTGTGGATTGTCTGGGGTCCGTTTGACTTTCCGCATGGCCTCAGGATGGTAGAATTGGGAATATATGGAACTGGCAGGGACATGGTCACCTAGTCCAGTTTTCACTTCACAGGGGAAGACACTGAGGCCCAGGGAGGGGCAGGAGCTTGCCCCAGGCCACATTGCTGGGCCCCTCACCCCCACACTTTTTCATTTTACCCAAGAGGAGCTGCCACCTGGCTGGCTTCAGTCCTTTCGGCTGCCTCAGCCCTGCATTGCTTTCCCGCGTGTGCTTCCGTATCGCCTCCTCCCGTTATAGCCCCTGCCTCGGCTCTCACCAGCCTCAGACTTCCCTCCTGCCAGTTTGCTGCGCGTTGAGCAGAGCAGGGCTGTGAGACATGCAGAGGACCCAGGAGAGGACTTCTGTAACCCAGCAGCAGAGTGATGCTGCCTAGCTGCTCTGCCCAGACCAGAGCTAATCTCCCGCCCCTCCCACAGAATGTGACCGGCAGCTCCACTGCCAAGTTTGAAGCCGCACTGACCTGGATACTAAGCAGCAACAAGGACGTGGGCATCTGGTGAGTGTGGTGGGGCGCCCATCAGCCGACTTCCTAGCTTCCCGCAGGTGCCCCTGAAGGTGGAGGGTGGGTCTGCCTGTGGTGTGGGCTGGGCTGAAAGCTGGTGGAGAAGGAAGAGCGGCAGGAATGAGGGCAAGGAGCAGTTCCAGGGCAGACACAGAGCAGGTGCCAGGTCTGCGCCTTGCCGTCCGGCTCTGCGCGGTTTTCTGGCGAAGGCAGCTCTCTACGCGCCTTTCCTCGGGGCTAGTTTTCATTTGCAGATGAAATGATTCTGTGTTGGTTTCACTCAGTATGGCAGTTGCACAAGGAAATGCTGGATTTTATTCTGACTGGGTAGTTGCGCCTCATTGCTCTCTGGTGAGCACCGTTAGCAGACAGCGAGCCTTTCGCCTTCCTGAAAGGCCCCAGGGGACGGGCGGGGGTGGGGCTGACGGCTGGACACCTGGAGTCTCCCTGCCAGAGAAGCATTCACCTCATCACCCCGCTCCCGTTTCTCAGGGTTCGTCAGGGGCTCTGTTGAGGTTACAGCTCCTGATGCTAAAACACACTCGGGTTTTGTTCTCTTCCTCTCTGATCCACCAAATTACGAATTCCCTCAGCTGTGCACCCAGGGGAGCCGGGCAGCTCAGCCTGAGCCTGCGAGCTGGATGCAGGCCCCACTGAAATGCGCTGGCTTACAAAACAAAGCCTCCCTGAGCGGCTGGCGATCCCTGTTAGAAAAGGCGGGGACTGGAGGCACCGAGCCGTGGCACTGGCCTCTTCATATGGGGGAGGTGGCTGAGCTGGCTCAGAGGACCAGGGTGAAAAGTGGGTCACAAGAAACCGGGACACTTCAGGTACCAGCCACTCAGGTGCGAGTCCAGCACATGGCTTGCCACCTAGAGGTGTGGCTGTCGGTGTCCCGGGGGTCCTGGCACCTTCTTGCAGGAACCAGGGCGGAGGCGCTGCGCTGGGGCCTGGCCTGCGGGCACCTCCTGATCTCTTCCTTAAGCAGCTTCTGTGCCTCCTCGACCCCGAGGAAAGGCACGCTCTCCCAGACACACGTCTTTCCGTTTCTACCTTGCAGGGCAAGACGGCGACTCAGTAAACATTTCCACTGCTCTCTGCTGGGAGGGGATCCAGTTTATAGTTAATCCTCCGCACGCCAACGGGGCTGTCAAAGGCCCAATAGGGGGAGCCACTTTAGTGGCTGGGGTTCGAGCCTGCTGCCTCTTGACAGCTTTATTCCTCCTAAGTAGCCAGCGCGGGGGATTTCCGGGAAGAGTGCAGCCAGGATATGTCTGTCTCACAGCAAGGAGAGGCCTCGCAGCCCCTCTTCCTCCTCCTCCTGGTTAAAGTGGGGCATAGACTGCAGCTCCTCAGAGCTCTTGGACGCGTTTACAACCCGTGTCCTGTTTCAGTTTGAAAGGGGAAGACCCATCTGAATTGGTGACAACCGTGGACAAGGTGGTCTGCTTGGAATCCGCCCGCCCCCGCATGGGTGTGGGCTGCCGCCTGAGCCGGGCCCTGCTCACCGCCGTCACCCACGTGCTCATCTTCTTCTGGTGTAAGTGCCCGCACACAGCGCCGCCCCAGCCCATCTCCGACAGCCCTGGCGGGGAGTGACGAGTGACGGGAAGCTGCCCTGAGTGTCTGAGTCTCTCGTGGGCCTGAGGTCTGTCTAATAAGACGGAGGGCGTGAGCAAGTCAGCCTCTGCCCGGTCATCTTCCCCTGGGGATCGGAGCCAGAGCATGAGGCTAACCAGAAAGTGTCCCTGTTCCTGAGAGGGAGGCTGCCCTGGCCGGAGGTGGGCGTTGTCCCTTCCAGGACCCCAGGGTGCAGGCCGCTGCCAGGAGGGCACAGCAGGAGCTTGGCCCAGTTTTACTCCCTGAGCAATGTAAACCTCTCCTGGGAAGCAGCAAGGCCCCAGCCTGTGAGCCTCAAGCAGAGCTCAGGCTGTCCCTGACAGCAGGGCTGCCTCTGAGCAGAGGCCGAGTCGCAGAGCCATTGGCTCTGCCCAGAGAGCCGCGTTATAAATCCCAGGCACCTGGGCGTGCACAGCGTGTGTGTGTGTGTGTGTGTGTGTGTGTGTGTGTGTGTGTGGGAGAGAGAGAGAGAGAGAGAGACAGAGAGAGCAAGCCCGGGTTCTGGTTCACCAGGGAGGAGATAAAAGCCCTGGACTAAGGCTAGGAGGTTGGGAGGAGCCGAGTTCTGGACGGGGGAGGGGCCTGAGTGACAGCTGGCAGGGAGGGAGAGGCTCACTGACTAGCCTGTCCTCCCTTTGCATTCCTGCATCCTTTGTTTCCCGCATGCTAGCCCTGGGCCCGCCACATAGTAGGTACTCAGAACACATTTGATCACCCACAGCCTCCACGCAGCGCCCGGCCCATGGTGAGACCCAGGGAGGTCTGAGCGGTTGGAGTGATGTGAGCCTTTAATGGTGCTCTGTTCCTGCGCAGGCTTGGCCTTTTTGTGGGGACTCCTGATCTTCCTGAAATATCGGTGGCGCAAGTTAGAAGAGGAGGAGCAGGCCATGTATGAGATGGTGAAGAAGATTATAGGTGTGTGGCCCAGGGGAAGGCTGCCGGCCTCCGCCAGGAGTCCTGGCCCTAACCTGTGCCCTCTGTCCTGCAGATGTGGTCCAGGACCACTACGTGGACTGGGAGCAGGACATGGAGCGCTACCCGTACGTGGGCATCCTGCACGTGCGCGACACGCTCATCCCTCCGCAGAGCCGGTGAGTCCAGGGTCTGCCCCACCCAGTGCCTCTTGTCACCGGCCAGGATCCCGGGTGCGGGCACCGTCCACGCCCCCGCTCCAGCGCCCGCTCCTCCAGCGCTCGGCATTTGTGGGAGAACACTCGGACAGTGTAGGAGCACGTCCCTCTCCTGTGCTAGGACCGCCCCTGCTCCAGGGGCTCAGGGAGGGAAGTTGGATTCTCTGGTCTTGCCCTCCAGAGAATGCTGTCGGCTGGAGTTCCTCACGGTCACAGGATGCTGGCCAGCAGCAGCGTCTGCCTCGTCCCAGCCAGCAGGGGAGGGGCTTCCTGATCTCACGAGCAAGGGAAAACCTTCCCTGAAGCCGCCAGTGGCCACTCCCCGAGGCCCCGCTGCCCAGAACTGGTGACTTACTGTCCCTGAGGCCTCACTGGCCACTCCCTGAGGCCCCGCTGCCCAGAACTGGTGACTTACTGTCCCTGAGGCCTCACTGGCCAAGAGGAGACTGTTTTCCACACGTCTGAGTATGACCCACAGTCAGACACACTCATTACCTAAAACAGGATGGTCCGGCTCCCACCCGTGAGCACATGTGCTTGTGTGCAGTTGAAAGCAAAGTTTCAGGGCACGGGCTGCATGGGAGGGACGGCAGGCTTGTCACACTTGACACCAGGGCCACCTTCCACATAAAACGGAGAACATGACTGCTGGCAGGGCCTGTGGCGGAGGCTGGCGTGCATTCACTCAACAAGCGTTGGTTGGCGCCGGCTGCCTGCCACACTGTCTGGGTCGCGGCGAGGGGCGAGGCGCAGGGAGGGGGCCTTCTGGGTGTCGGTTCTGAGGAGGACGTGGGGAAGGTGCATAAGGAGAATGTGTACTGTGTGTGGTGACGAGTCCCAGGAGAAGGAGCGGGTGTCGGGAGGCGGCCTCCTAGTCCACGAGGTCGCTGGCGCACTTGGGCGCACATCGCATCTGAGGGCAGCTGCACTGCTTCGGCTTTAACTGCAAACACACTTCACTGAAACGAGCGTGGGAAGTGGCATTGCAGTCCCGGCCCAGCCACTGCGCCCCAGCCACTGCGGTCAGCAGAGGCCCCAGGCGCCACCCCAGGGTCCGAGGGACCGGAGGCTCAGGGTCTTGATTTCTCTCCGAGCCGCTAAGTCCGTGCGGCCAAGCTCCTGCCGGCCCAGCCTGGGCACAGCCAGTAGTCGAATGAGGGCCTGCTCCTGAAAGACAGGGACATGCGGGAGCGCAGGGGCTGGGGGAGAGGCTGCTGGCCACCTGCTCATTACCTGTTAATGGGCAGCTCAGGGAGTACGACCCCAGACCCCACACCATGCCGGCTGCCTCCCCTCGGGCCCAGCATGGCCAGCTCAGTCCCTAGGCGTGTGTGGCCTTGGCCAAACCAGTCACACGGGGGCTGCTAACCAGACGTGGGGTTTGGTCGGTGGCAGGAGCTGCCCCCTCTGGCCTCCCCAGGGTGAGCCCTTCTGCTCTCACTCGGACACACGCTCCCTCCGCACATGCAGCGCGGTCCGTGGGCAGGTGGTCTGAGCTGACAAAAGCAGGGGCTCATGAAGCAGCCTCCCCGGCGGCCCTGGAGTCTGGTCTGGTTGGGAGGGGCGCTCAGAGGGGATGCAGGACCTCTGACTGCTGGCCTAGGCCTGCCAGCCGGGAGGGGCTCTACTTGGGGGCGGCTGCTTCTCAACTCCACAGCGGGGTGCTTAGCTGTGGAGTTTGGGCTCAGCAGCCAGCAGCCACACTTTAATTAGCCCACAGGAGGCATTAAGAGGCAGATAGCACTGGTTGGGGGCCGCCTGGCCAGGCTGTGCAATAGCAGGTCCAGGGCGGGTAGCCCCATCCCATGCACACACAGGACTGCTCCTGACACCGCTGGCCCCTTTCAGCTCCCTTCAAAGCAGTGGTTCTCAACCTTCTGGCCCTTTAAATACAGTTCCTCATGTTATGGTGACCCCCAACCATAAAATTATTTTCGTTGCTACTTCATAACTGCAATGTTGCTACTGTTGTGAATCATAATGTAAATATCTGATATGCAGGATGGTCTTAGGCGACCCCTGTGAAAGGGTCATTCGACCGCCAAAGGGGTCGCGACCCACAGGTTGAGAACCGCTGCTTTAAAAGAGTGCTTTGGGAGCAGAAACCGTGGAGTCATTTGTCTGGGGCCCAGGAAATGCCCCCTGCAGGAACCCTGTGGAACCTGGAGCTCCGGCTCCCTTTGTACAGGGGCGTCATCCACAGACCTGCTGGCCTCCCTGGGGAGCCGAGCCCAGCGGGCCTGCTGAGCCTGGCCCCTCTCTTTGCAGGAGGCGCATGAAGCGGGTCTGGGACCGCGCTGTGGAGTTCCTGGCCTCCAACGAATCGCGGATCCAGACGGAGTCCCACCGCGTGGCTGGAGAGGACATGCTGGTGTGGAGATGGACTAAGCCCTCTTTCTTCTCCGACTCAGAGCGATAAAGCTCGCGGGGCCTGTCCCCTCAGGGGCTCGAGAGGGCCACCGACCTGCTGGTGCTGAATTCACACTTGCCTTGACTTTCACCTCCTGACTCTCATCCAAAGGTCTCTGCAAACTCCAGAGCCTCGCTTGTGGGAAAGCCGAGCTTCTCTTGGAGGGTGGGGAGAGCCCGGCAGAGGGTCGCTGTCCTCTG